ATTCCCTAGAGTAAAATAAACTATTAGAGGTCATATTTTATCATATTTAAACAAATCGGATAAGAGTAACTATATGGAATATATATATTGATTGATGTTTTTTCGGTAGAACAAGTTTCAAGCAGGCCGCCAGTATTCCTATAGGTCCCGAGTGGCACATGGGTCTTCAAAAGGAAGCTTTCATTTCCTCTTCACACGCCTGACTGGATGTTTCCCATCCGAGTTCCACCAGAGGCACTGCATATCGCGTGAGATGTTACTCAAAGGTGTCGCCATCGTATATTCAATCCGTCTGCATTTTCGTCTAAATATTTGTTGGGAGATAGTTTATTGCTTGATTTCGTTGTCAGGATTGCTGGTTGTTAATCCTTCCCAACCAACTCCCGATCATCAGTATCCAGTGAAGTCAGCTGGTGATGAAAGTCTGAAGGAACCTGTTGGAAATGCTTTCCGTACCCCGTGTTCCAAGTCTCAGAAAGGGTATAGAAGAAGATCTGGATTTTATTATATCACTTTTGTCAAGTGCAGAAGATTTCCACATTGATTTCAGAGTATTACTTCTCCGATCCTGTGTAACCTCGACATTCTCATCTCTACAAACCTGTAGTTGGAAGGATGCTACCTACACATGTAAAGGAGGTGACTTCCCTCAAACGTCTACCCCCACCCCACCCAGTTGATGGTGCTTGTCTGTCTGTCTGGATTCAACATAGAACTTGGCACCAAAGTGCACCAGTTCGAGTTACCACGTTCCAAATAGCACACAAAGGTTGACAAGAAGATGAATGGAGAGAATCAATAGAGTTTGATAAGTATAAGAGTGAAACAGAATGAGTAATGGTAGAAAGAAATATGAAAGATTACAGAGACTGAATACATCTGCACTGGCCATTGACAACGATTTTGAGCCATGTCACCTATTGTCTGCAGCCATTGATTCCTAGAGTCCCGAGGGCCCCAACCCGGAAGTCTGAATCTCCCTACCTGACCGACCGACTCAGTTTAACTGTCAAAGATTTCATGGACTGATGCCATGCCATGTTTTTGTTTGGCCACAACTTACTCTTTTCCAACTTGCACCTATCTATATCAGCTAGTAATGCCCCTCCGGGGGTGGGGGAGGCGATGGTTAGGCATGCGCAGCACGTGACCTGGCCATCTCAATCTATGCAACTTTAGAGCCTCGTCGATTGATTTTCCCTCTTTGCCTGTCCAACACTCTACGCCTAACGTCAACATTACTTATCTTATTATACCACCTAACGTCAGAAAGAGATCGTAGAAATTTGTGATCAAAAACTATCAACCTTTTCATATCTTCAACTCGTATTGGCCATGTTTCAGAGCCATAGAGAAGGATGGAGCAAACTGCTGAGCAGTACACACGTCCCTTGGTTGATAGCCCGATGTCACGCCTACGCCAGAGATGGTGTAAGTCAGCGAAAGCAGCTCGAGCTTTTCGGATCCGTGCTGAGATTTCATTGCCAATCAGTCCGTCGGTGCTGATACAACTTCCCAAATAGGTGAAGTGGTCGACATGTTCTATCACTTCACTCCCTATCACTAAGCTAGGAGTTGACGTAGTCCAGTCCTGTAGTAGCATCTTACATTTTACAGGGGCGAATTGCATGCCAAACATACGAAGATTTCTGCTCAAGGTGTTCAGAAGACTCTGCTCTATTTTGTCAGCATCCTCCCCTAACAGGACTATGTCATCTGCATATTCTAAGTCCATAAGACTATTCCCTGGTAATTCTACTTGAATCGAGCAGTGATTTTTTCAAACACCAATAAGCGTTATCCATTGAGCCGCCTGCCAAGACATTCTCACTCGAACCTGGCAAATCAACGAACCAGTTAGAAGACAATAGAGTATCAAGTGAGAATCAGGTTACTGTCAAGTCCTCGTTGTGAACTTTCCAACAGTGCACTTATGACGTCATGTGGGGCTGAACCCAAAACTTTCTGATTGCATCGTCATCAATTAACCGTTTATCTCTTAGACGGCTCTGTGGTATGACACTACGACTAATATGTGGCGTGTACTACTGATAAGATTTATCAGTAGTATGTATATGTTACATAAAGAGATATTCATCGGTATAAAAACATCAAATAGCAGGGAGGTACACTTGATGTCAGAGAAAGCAAATAGTACATCGTTAGGGAGACAAATGAGACAAGTCAAAAAAACACACAAAGAAACTCAATATGAAGGAAGGTGAGAAGTTGCACAACACGGAAGATCTGTACAAATGTTGCATTGACGATAAGGTACACATAATTTGGCTAAATAGAGATACCCAATTCCAAATAAAAACTTCCTCTACCAAGTTTTCGCCTTCTACAGATACAATTAAACACTGATAAGTGAGTCTACTTCCTTACACCCGATTTAGAAGACTCCATCAAAACTGTACGAATTCCAAGAAGAAGTCATTTGCTAGTTTGGCCTTGTAGAAGTTGGCATACTGATTTAGCTGTTTGTATGGTTTGTTTGACTTGGGAAAACACATCTCATTTGCACCATATAAGGGCATCATTTAGACAACAATCGATCCAAATCCCTGCAAACCCATACTTGAAAGCTAATCGAATGCTTACTAGAGTATGAGTACAGAATGAAGTTTTCTGAAGTTCCAATGGGAAGTCGTGACTAGTGAGATCCACCAAGTTGTGTGTGTGAGTGTGTGTGTGGAGGAGGGTGAGGGTCAAGTACTCACTGACAACAATGTGTAAACCTTGGGCACTACTGTGATAGAAAGTAATTCCATATTGGTTTGTATATTAGATGTATCATACAGTCACTCAAACAGTATTGTTATTTGCTGGATGACAGTTTCGAACAAAATTCATTGCTGTTCATAATCATTTCCCTCGTGATTAAGACATCTAAAAATGGGATTTTGTTATCTAATTCTTCTTCTCTTGTGGTGAATTTGATGTCTTCAAATATGTTGTTTATTAATTTATGGGTATATTCTAAATCACATTTCTCTTAATTATTACAAATGTGTCATCAACGTAACGTACCTGTCCAGATTTTCGGTTTAATTATAGGTAGGAAGGGTTATTAATTCTAATCTTTGCATGACGACTTCAGCTATTAATCCTGATATGGGCGATGATCCCATTGGTGTTCCTTTTATTTGTTCATATATTTGAGTATTGAATTGGAAGTATATTGTTGTAAGGCATAATTCTTATGAGTTCTATCCAAGTTGAACATCACAGCGTTTTTATGTTTTCATCACTATGACGTAATTGTTGCGCAGTATTTGTTGCTATTTTTGGCTAATTGAAGTATATAATGCTGTGACATCATGCAAGCACACCATTATTTCATTGTCTTCTACCTGAATGATTTTTTGATTTTCTCTAAAAATTGGATAGATTGACGAATTGATAGAATGGTCGCATGATTCTGTTAGGTAATTTAATTTCCCGAAAAAGTTCTTTAGATATATTATATGTTGGTGTTCCTGGAAGCGAAACGATTGGTTGTAAGGGAATGTTTAGTCTGTGTAGTTTTGGTCTACCATAGAATCGAGGTAAAATACAGTCCGTTAGATTTCATTCGCCATTGATCTTGTTCTGTAATTTGTCCTGATTTTGTTATCTAATGTTTGTACAAATCTTCTCTATTATTTCAGCTTGTCAGTGTGTTAATAACATGTCGCTAATTTGAATTAAAATTGTGTCCTATCGGTGTACCATTCACTTAACTCGTTTCATTATGATTATTATTAGTGTTTTCTTAAAACTTAATAACTGCTACTGTAACATTGAGAAGCTGTACAGTCGTATATATATATCGTTGGAGGATTTCATCATGAGCTGACGTCATTTAGAGAAACATTGGAAAACCACCAAGGAGTACTGGATAGACAGACAGCTGTTTCATCAGCCTATTTTGGAGCCCTTCATCAGTAAGCACCCACCACAGGGATTCCAAACCAGGACATTTCGATTACGAGGGTAGTGAGCTTGTCATCAATCATTGGAATCGAATCCAACGGTAGGTTCATGAATTCTAACTTCTGCAAATTCATAACACAGCGCGACCGGTGGGCTAGTTCTGCTAAAGAGTCCTAAACTAGGACGAAACAGCTGTCAGTCCAGTACTCCCAGGTTTTCCAGGTGGTTATCTGACTGATATCAGCTCATGATGATGAAATCCTGTAACCAATCAAATCAAATTCCTACAAAGCCAATACTTGAAATGGGATCTGATGCTCACTAGCGACTGGGCCTATTCAGGTAGGTGTAGTTACCTGGACTGGTTCTAGGGGGCAGCCGTAACCAGTAGGTTGTAGATGGTCGAGCTTGAAGACAAATACTCGCTAGTTGTCACGCTATGTTGTGAATTAGCCAAAGTTGGAATTCATTGGCTTAATTGTCAACGAGGTCACTAACTAGTCTTGTAACCAGAAGGTCCTGGCTTCGAGCCCTGGTGGTAGGTGCATACTGCTTAATAGTCGCAAATCACAAGGAAACAGCTGACTGTCCACTACTTCCAGCTTTTCCAATGTTTCCCTAACTGATATCAGCTGATGATGATGATGATGATGAAATCCTGAAACCAATCAAACTTCTGCAGACCAACACTTAATGATGGTACTCTTTTATTCTGCACACGCAAACTGTTGTTCTTGTTTTATTCCAATTCATACAGGGAAATAAATTTATAAAGTTAATTGAATATCGATTGATATGTATAGCTATCTGATTGTGAATTACAGTCATGTCTATGAGATATATGCCGGGGTTCGAGCCTTCGCCGACGCACACTTGATATCTATGGTCGGCCTGAGAAATTTGGGCTACCGATATCCACGCTGAAAACTCCATACTTGTATCAAAAGTACGGCGTGGGGGTCAAGCTGTAATCAAAAAAATAAAAAAATAAATAAATTTTATTTCAAACTTATCAGTTTAATACTTTTATCAGTTGACCCCGTTTTTTTCTTGTTGCATTTTCTCTTCATTTTACACTTCAGGAAGAACAGATGCCTTAAAATGTCTTGTTTGTGCGAATTGTACAAATAATGGAAAATCAGAAATAAAAGATAATTGTATCTCCTGTCGGGTAAGTAAACATCACATGAGCAGTAATCACTCCTATAAAGTTTTAATATTTTTTTTATATTACTATGCACTACAAATAGACTGAAAGTCTAAAAAAGGTTTGATTATGCAAGCGAGTTTTTGAGTTTATATTATGTCATGAGCTGACGACACTAGTTAGAGTGAAACATTGACAGTCGAACAGGAGTGAGCGGCTCTTTCGTCCCAAGTTTGAAACTCTTCATCCGTGCTTAACAATAACTTCACCATGGAATTAGACTCTGGAGCTTTAGATTATGAGGTCAATCTGTTGACCATTCAGTCACCGGTTTAGTATTCAATCCCTCTTGAATTCTAACTTTCAAGCTTTGGATGAAACATTTATGCTCGGTCTCATTTTGAGTAATTTCAAAGTTTTGTCTATATGGTTAAGTGGGTGAACGATATTTTGTACACTAAATTAAGTGTTTATCCAGTTTCTGCTTACTTAATCTTTTAATTTATTTCTAATTATTAATAATATTACTGTTTTATTGGGTTCCGAGTGGAGCATACGGCTTCATCAGGACATTTCCCCACTTTATCTAGTTGTCTACCGCCCTCTTCAGCTGGTCCCGTGATTATTCGTTGCGTCACATCTCCTCCCTGCACTATCTTCTCCATTCCACTCTCTACACCACTAGACCAATGGCCTGGATTGCTCACGATGTCATTCGACAGTCTCTTCAGCATATGTCCAATCCGTCTCCACTTTCTTTGGAATATTTTTTGAGCTATAGGTTCTTGGTTAGTTTGTTTCAAGAAATTTCTCGTTGATAATTCTTTCTGGCAGGCCAGGTGGTCATTTGACCTTCTATATGTTGCAAGTGAAGTGGGTGAGGTACCTGTTGATAAAACTCTGTAGCAGGTTGTTGGAAATGCTTTCCGTGATGCGCAGTACAAGTTTCTGACCAATATAGGAGAACTGACAGACTTAACATTTGTGTTGAAAATCTGAATTTTGTTCTGTATGCTGAGTGAGTGCAGAAGATTGCCAAACTGATTTCAGAGTGATGATGAAGGCGCCTGCCTTGCCTTTCTTACCCAGCTTTGTTTTCACATCTTCATCAGTGGCCTGTAGTTGAAACGATGCTTCCTAAATGAGTGAGGGAAGTGACCTCTTTCACATTTCTTCTGTTGATAGGTGCTGGTTGTTGGTTAATTGGTTGGTTATCATTATCACCGCTGTCTTCTCTATGTTCGACTGCAGTCCTGTCTTCTTTGGCTGCTTCTTCAGTCATTTTTTTATTTTGGTTTTCACCTGTCAGTCTTCAAGTTTGTATGTGACATGAGGCATAAATCGTCCGCGAAATTCATATCTTCTAAAGTCTTCTTATCGATCCAGAATATTCTTCTCTTATCACTCTTCACGCACGGTGTGTAGCATTCATTATCTAGTCCACCACAGTTAAGAATATTATCGGTCAAAATAGTGTGGTGAGAGCAGCCTGCCAGCCAATTGGTAGACATCAATATCTAGGTCACTAATATTGGCCGTGAGAAAATATGAACAAAGCTGATTCAACAACCAATCACAGCAGACTTAAACGTGGACAAATATGATTCGCAGATAAATGGCTCCACTTTCCGAGAAACTCGAAAACAACCAATCACAATACCTCGTTTGTCTACTTGAATAAGCTCTAATAATGTACATAAAATATATACAAATACGTGCTGATTTCCGTAATAAAATGTTCTGTTGCCTGGCCCTTGTCTTCTGTTGTTACAATAGGTAGCCTAACTGATACATCGGTAGGTGTGAATTTATTCGTCTCTGTTGCAGAAAAACCATTTGACAAGCAATTCATTTTAAAAAAGCATCGATTTTAATGCATTTTCCAACAACCATTTGCATTTCCATACAATTGCCAGTATGCTACACTTATATTGTGTGTGGGCTAATTATCCTATGTGATTATCCAGTAGATGGGACGATTCTCGAAACCATCATGCAGTACTGGTAAATGTTAGTCAACGTCTTATTATTATTGTTGTTGTTCCTTTGGGTTCCGAGTGGGGAAATACGGCTTCAACATCACATCTCCACTTTGTCCTATTCTTTGCGGTCCCCTTTACAGGTGGTCCCACGATTACTTATAGTCTTTCATCTTCTCTCATGATCCCCTCTATCCGCTACAAAAGATCCTAATGGAGACCCCATGGATACTCCATCCCTTTGGTTTTAGATATGACATCGATAAATCTAAACTGCACATTAGGTGAACATCTCAATAAAAGTTGCTTCAGATATTTAGTTGGTACTCCAATATTTAGGCCTCCTAAGTCGATGTAATCACATAAATAACAAATAGTTTCTACTAATGGTACATTTGTATATAATAATAATAATTTTTCCTTCACGTTCCCAGTGGAACATAGGGCTTCAAGCTAGTGGCTTGAAGTTTCTGTAGCAGTGTTTATTTTTACAGGATGGGGTTGCTAGCCAGCCTCATGCCCAACCTTTTTTTAGGTTCCTGCTTAATTCAGAATCCTACTTAGTGTCTCAGATGTCCCCTCCTTATATGGTATAACTGTGGATGACTTATATTCTTTCTTATTTATGTTATTATTACTAGTTTCACAATTATTTTTATTTTGTTTTTGGCCTTTAATGATCTTCCTAATGAATTTTATAGGATAGTTGTTCAACACCAACGCTTCTTCTATCTGTTTTAATTCATCATTTAGATCTTTTTTTGTGCTACTTAGTGCCACTGCTCGGTTTGTTAAACATTTAACTAAGCCTGCCTTAACAGTTAACGGATGAGACGAATTAAAGTCTAAATATCTATTAGAATGCGTTGGTTTTCTATAAACACTAGAGTGTAGTTTGCCTTCTTCTATTCGTTTTATTTTACAATCTAACATAGCTAATTCTCCTAGTTTATTTTCTGATTCAAATGTGAATTTTATTCCCTCAACTTGTGAGTTTATATGTGTCAAGAAGCTAGAGATGTGTTCTGTTTTTAACACTGTGAAAGTGTCATCCACATATCTCCACCATATTTTCGGAGTAGGGTTAAATGTATTGAGGGCACTATTTTCCCAGCTGTCCATAAATATGTCTGCTACAATAGGGGATATTGGTGATCCCATTGCTACACCTTCTGTTTGTCTATATATTTTGCCTTGGAACTTAAAGATAGTAGATGTGAGGCATAACTGAATCCCTAAAATAATTTCTTCAATGGACAGCTTTGTTCTATGACTGAGTTCCGGATCCGCAGTTAATTCTTTTTTAACTGCTTCTAAGGACATATTAACTGGTATATTAGTATAAAGACTAGTTATATCAAAACTAACCATTTTTTCATCATTTTCTAGTTGAATGTCATTTAGCTTACTTTTCATCTCATATGAATTAGTTAGTCTAGAGTTTGAGCGATTTCTAATGGGACAAAGTATTAGAGCTAAGTGTTTTGATAATTCATAAGTGGGGGTATTTCTAAAATCTACTATTGGTCTTATGGGGTAACCTGGTTTATGTATTTTAATAGTACCATATATTCTACTAGTATTATTAGTTTTAGGCATTAACGTAAACCATTTAGACTCACCCAGTGTGATTAATCCACCAAATTGCTTCCATCACCTTCAATAACCAACCTGGAATTAGAGTAATGTGAAATAATTGTGAAACAGTCATTAATTAATATTGATTTTGTGACCTGACATTAATAAGTGTTTTGCAATGGATGATGATGCTGGATTTCTACTAAGATTAATCGTGTCGGGATTTTCGATATGACTTAGTAGCCATTTTGGAACATGTTCCTTTCGACGACGATATTGGAACATTCTGTTGGTTCTACCTGTATAGGTGCCACCACAACAACTGCAGGTGAACTTGTAGATACAGTTTGAAGTAGAGTTCACAAAATTTCGTCCTTTAATCGTAGGTAGCTACAGGGATCATAAATGTTCGGTATGTGAGAAAAAGAGATGCGGTGGCGTAGAATGTGCGTTTGATGATTGACCAAAATCTTTGAGCTAGCTGTCAACTGCATAATCTGGTCACCCTTTGAATGGTAGGTTAATAAAGATAGATAGCTTTCTTTGGTACAGAAGCTGTCTTTTCGAGATGTGGTTTTTCTTTGCTGTGACAAGTGATAAAGTTTTCCGGATAACCATTAGCTAATAAAACTGAATGTATATGTGGAAACTCATCCATCAATGTGTCACTCGTGCATATTTTGTGGGCCCTTGAGAACAAACATTTCACTATGGCGGGAACGTTTATACTGGATAGGAACAAAACTGGTGAAATCAAGATAATGTTCATTCCATGTCTGTTTACGAAAGAAAATAGATCGTTGAATGGTTCCATCATCTCTCCTAGTCATAGTAATATATTCAGGGAACAAAGGTTTGTTAAAATTGTACACTTTTTATTTTCTTATTTGGTTAAAATATGTATTCAGGTTGTACGCAGATGCTGATGAGAACCAACGAAATAAAATGGATCCAGAATATTCTGCGCTCCAATGATTTTTTTCTTTCTTTGTTCAAATATGTATGATTCATTAGGCTTGCCAATGAACTGACACAAGTTAGACAACTATTGGAAAGTATTAGACAGTTGTTCCGGCCTAGTTCGGGACTCTTCAAGGATACACACACGCCACATGGTATTTGTTCGAGAGGAACCGCAGGTTCAGACAGTTGGTATATGTGCTTGGTCGAAAGGCCAATGGTGCGAAGCTATCATCTGAGGGATTAAGACCGAACGCCTTTAAGTCTGAATCCCGTCCATATTTGCAACGGTACATTCCTTATCCGGCACGTGGCTGGGCAAGCTTACGTATTCCTTTTGGTTTCTGGACTGGACCATGTGTTTGGCTAGGCCCATTACGCCAGAGCGATGACCATAAACTATGCTGTGGATTTCGGAGTGTAGGGGTCGACACGATATCTATTTGTGAGGATACTAAATCGTTTGTAGACGACTTAATGTTTTGTCGGGAGACGTAAGTGCTCAAGCAGCTATCACACTGCAAGGCATTGAGTCCTATCCCTGCTTGACGTAATGATTTAGTGCGTTGGTGGCGTAGCGGTTAGGACGCTCGTCGACCATGCACATGGTCCGGGGTTTGATCCCTGGCCGACGCACTCCTTTACCTCGCTAAGCCAGAAATAATGCTGGTAAAGAGGAAACGTTGGGCATGAGGCTAGCATACCCATGCTGTAAAATAAACACTGGTACAGAAACTTCAAGCCACTAGCTTTAGGCCCTATGTTCCACTGAGGAACGTGAAGGAAAGAATAATGTAACATGGTGTTCGAACCCAATACCTTCTGGGTTACAAGACTAGCGAGCTCGTAGACCATTCATTTAGCCTCCGTAACCCGATCTAATGGTCAACTCATGAATTCCAGCTTCTGTCAATTCATGATATGATGCAACTAGTACTAGCGAATCTCATCGCTGGTGAGTGTTTGTCCTCACACCCGACCTGCTGTACCCTGCTGGTCACGAGTTACCATTAGGGCCCAAGGTATAGTGGCAGTCCCTAGTAAGCATCTCATCGGTAATGAAGTAGTGGTTGGGAGTATTATTATAATTTATTAATTTCATGTATGTACATATTTGTAAAATGAGGTAAATTGTTGTAATATGTGTAAAAACCGCTGGAAATTCCATTCTGAAAAGTTGCGTCGGTGGCACAGTTGTTAGGACTCTCGCTGACCATGCATATGGTCCGAAGTTCGATTACTTGCCGACGCACACCTGATATCTATGGTGGACCTGCGAAATCTGGGCTACCGATATCCATGCTGAAAATTCCATACTTGTACCAAAAATAATACGTCCAGGAATCAAGCTGTAATCAAAATTTAAAAATTAAATTACAATTATTATTACTATTGTTATTTATTTTGTTTAGAATATCACCAGATTAAGGAACAACGTGCTGAATACCTTAACACGAGAATGTCTCTATGCTACCTGTAAAGAATCAGTGAATACAACCTCACCATGGAGGAATACAACAAATTGTTGTAAAAATAGAGATCTGTGCAATGAATCGTCTCGACTGGTGTTTAATTCAAATCATCAAATCACCTTATCTCTTCTGATTGTATCAACACTATTTTGGTTATCAATGAATTAATTAACGATCAATTAATTAATTAATTAATCAGTCAATTAATTAACTTTATTTATTTCTCTTTTCCGTTAATTATGAATATATTTTCAATTAAATCAATAAATTAATAAATGTATTTTCAAATAAGGATGTATTTTCTGTGTACAAAGCAGACACAGTATTCCATTATGCGAAAAGAATTTTAGTTTTGATAAAGTCTCACTGTGTGTCATACAGTACGTAATATTTACTGATAATGACGTTTCGAGCACAATTTTCGTACAACTGTTCATAATCATATCAAGGCACTAATCATTCACACAATTTCTGACTTCGTTTATTATTATTATTATTATTATTATTATTATTATCCTAGAGGAACATAGGGCTTCAGCTGCACATCTCCATTGCCTTGTGTTTTCTGCCAACTTTTTCACCCCACTCCAAGTCTGCCCACATGCTTCATCTCCTCTTCACATGACCTCATCTTCCATATCACCCTTGCACTGACGACCAACTCGCCGCTTCCCTTTCACGTTCCACTCGAGCGATGGCTTGTCTAGTGATGTCACTTGATAGTTTCCTCAGAGTATGGCCACCGATCCATCTCCATTTCTTCCTGCCTATTTGTTTCACAATCAGTTCCTGGTTGGTTCGCTCATTCCCAGAGATCCCTGTTACTGATCTTTCCTGGCCGGCCATCTGATCTTGAATATTGAGCGAAGACAGGTGTTAATGAAGGTCTGTAGTTTGTGCGAAGTGCTCTTCATGATGCGGCTCCAAGTCTCTGATCTTTATAGTAAGTGGCACTGACTTCACACTGGAAACAATAATCCGGATTTTATTTTTGATGCTGAGTGCTGTTGACCTCCACACAGATTTGACGTGAGTAATGAAAGCTTGTCTTGCTTTCCCGATCGATTCTTGCTTTGATATCCTCGTCAGTTCCGTGTGCCTGTAGTTGAAAGGATGCTCCTATGTAGGTGGGTAGGTGAAGGAGGTTGTTTCTTTCAGGTTCCTCCCATTTATACTGGCTAATTGTTGTCTGTTTTGTTGTTGTTGTTGTTGTTGGTGGTAGTGGTGGTGTTGACCAGGAATCTTCATCACCTCTGTTTTCTCTATGTTCACCTGAATTCCTATCTTTGATGCTTCTTCTTCGTCTCCAGCTTGTTGCTTTTCACTTGCATATCTTCCAGTTTTGTGTGAAATCAGACATATATCATCGGAGAAATCCAAATCCTCCAAGTTTTTTGTGTGGGTCGATTTTATGCTTGTTTCCTCGTTGCCAACTGTCTGTCGCATTATCTAATTTACTGCAATCAGGAAGATCATTGGCAGTGGTAGACAGCCAGGCTTGTCGCACTCCCGTCCTCACTTCGTTTGTAGATTTCTATTATTTTTCATCTGCGGATTTGATGATTGTTAGTTTTTTTTAAATTCCTGTATGTTCCCATTGGGCTCCTTCAAGCTAGAGGCATGAAGTTTCAGTAGCATGGAGTTGCTAGCCTCATGCCCAACCATCCTCTTTACCAGTCTTACTACTAAGTTAACGAGGTAAAGGAATGCATCGGCCGGGAAGCATCCTACCGCTGTACCATCTCTGATCGATAGTAGTTTTTGAGAGCTGTCTGCTAGCCAAAATTAATAGACAGCAATTTACGTCAATATTTACGTCTCAAATCTTGGTCATGAGAAAAAAAACAAGAACAAAGACTAACTCAACAACCAATCACAGCAGACTTAGTGTGGGTGGATACGATTCTCAGATATATCACCGGACTGTCTAACAAACGACCACAAAGATATGGCAGGATAACCTTCAGCAGGAAAACAACCAATCAGAAGACGTTGCTTCTCTGTTAACAATAACGCTAATAATAATGTACACAAAAAATCTATAAAAATATCTGTTGATTTTCTCAATAAAAAATCTGTCTGTTGACTGCCCCTTGTCTTGTTTCGTTACAGTAGTAGTACTTTCTATATATCTGAGGCATTGGTGATGAATCATCCTCATTCTCTGTGTTGGGTGTAGATTATTCGATGAAGGAGGGTTCACAATAATCAACCTCTCTCTCTCTCCGTCTACCTACATTACTTTTTCAACTCTGTCCCACATAGTTTATTGTGTGGTGGTATGTCAATGCACGCAGTGAGATTGTTGAGTTGTTTTTTCTAAATTACTTTTTCTTCAGGGATTCAATCATTCTAACCTTAGCTGAATTCTTATGCTTTGATAATCTCACTACTCCTAATCTACTAGTCTGACCTATGTAGTTGACCTGACTGACAGTCATTGCAAGGTATTTTGTAAATTATATTATTTTGTTTAATTGGGTCCATTGCGTTCCTAGCCTGCAGAGGTTGTCCTGAGTGAGTCTGTAGGTTTAAATGCCACTCTGATTCCTGCTTTATTAAGGGTCATACGTAGGCTCTCAGATGTCCCCTCTTTATATGGTATAACTGTGGGTGACTTATATTCTCCCTTATTATGTTATTATTGCTAGTTTCACAAATATTTTTATTTTTCGTTTGGCCTTTTTTGATCTTCCTAATGAATTTTAAAGGATATTTAGTTATTCAACACCAACGCTTCTTCTATCTGTTTTAGTTCATCATTTAGGTCTTTTCTTCTGCTACTTAGTGCTATGGCTTGGTTTGTTAGACACTTAGCTAAGTCTGCCTTCACAGACAGTTAACGGATGAGGTGATGAATTAAAGTCTAAGTATCTATTAGAATGCGTTGGTTTTCTATAAACACTAGTGTGCAGTTTACCTTCTTCTATTCGTTTTTATTTTACAATCTAACACCATTGCTAATTCTCCTTGTTCATTTTCCGAATCAAATGTGAATTTTATTCCCTTTACTGATGAGTTTATATGCGTCAAGAAGCTAGAGAGAGATATGTTCTGCTTTTAACACTGTGAAAGTGTCATCCACAAATATCTCTACTATATTTTTGGAGTAGGCTTGAATGCATTAACAGCCATATTTTCTAAGCTGTCCTTTATAAAGATATCTGCTACCATTGGGGATATTGGTAAGATCCATCCCATTGCTACACCTATTTGTCTACATATGCTGCCTTGGAATTTAAAGATGGCAGACATGAGGCGGCATTATTCAATTCCTAAAATAATTTCTTCAGTGGGTAGCTTTGTCCTATAACTAAGTTCGGAATTAACAGTTAGTTCTCTTTTAAGTGTTTCTGGTTGGTTCGTTACTAGGGTTCCCCTTGTTGCTAATCCTTTCCACCTAACCCGGTGATCTTCAAAATTGAGCCAAGGTCTCCCTCCTTCAACCTGTTGGAAATGGTTTTTTGTGGCGCGTACACCAAGTAGGTGAATTCCATGTGTAAAAACATTGACTAACTTGGCAGGAGCGTTGAAAATCTGAATGTTGTTGTTGTTGTAGTTTATGCTTAATGCAGCAGATTTCCACTCTGATTTCAGATTTATGAAGGTCTGTCATGCATTCTCATCTCCTGACTGGTTTCGACATCTTCATCCGTCCTGTCTCCGTGTCTGAAACACACAGTACGAAGCGATGATTCAACACAACCCTCCTCTTTTGGAAAACACAAATTATATTCAAATCACGGAATATAAACATTGGGTCATAGGAGTTATCAAGAAGACAATTGCAGCGAAGAAAATTTTCTTTTCGACGAAGTCATCATCTAGGCTGTACATTCGTGTATTTGTGTCAAATGGATGGGAAAGTTCCAGAATAATTTCCAGTCGAGTGTCAAATTAATAAAATTACAATTAGGAATGCCATAAAATGCCATAATAAACAGGGTGGGGGACAGATAAAACACAAACAAAGTAGCATCATAATAACTAAGAAGATTGACATTGTGCAATCAGGGGTTAGAAATGTAGAAATAACAAGAACAACAGACAGGATGTTTGGATAAAAAAACTAATGTGATGAATAATTGTTTATGCAATCAGGGATTAAATATGTAGAAATAGTAAAATGACAGAATAAACATGAAGTTCGGGTATGAAAATATGGTAGTGTAAACAGGGATTAAGAAAAACTTAAAATAACATGAATAAACAGGAAGTTTAGATAAGGAAGGCGATGGGATGGTCATTACTAAAAGAATTACTTGTTTATGATGGCCATGGCAGGGGCATGGGTTGGATATATTTCTTTTGGATACAAAGCGTGGGTTTGAGCTTTTGGATAGCTAGCGCCTCAGCTATGCCCAGATGTCTTAATTTCACTCCCTTTGATAGGTTTGATTGAATCTTGTATATGAATTTGAAGGATTTTTCGAAAGGCGCTGAATGTCCTGAATTAACCAGATGTTCTGTCACTGAACTGTATACACGTTTTTGGTCTCCTTTTACTAGCCAGGCTGGGTAGTGTTCACGAGCGCGTTTTTCAAGTCGGCGCATGGTACGGCCAATGTACTCAGCTCCACAAGAGCAAGTAAACTGGTATATGCACGCTGAGGTGGCCCAATGCAACAGCTTGTCTTTCGCGTTCTGACTGAACAGTTTCTTGCAGGAAAACGTCAGTCGTAGGCTCGCGGTGAAGTATGTTTTCCTCAGCGATTTGGAGAGGCGTTTACGAAGTATTTCTGCTTCAATATCACCTTTGAATTCTAGATTAAGCAGAAGTATTTTCTTTGGAATTGATTGGACTTGTTCGGAAGTCTTCTTAGATTTGAGATTCTTGTCTATGAACCTGGGCGGGAAACCGTTTTCCATCAGGGTTCTTCGGAGATTACGCAGTTCTTCTTCAACCACTTCCTCGCTGCATATCTTCCGAATCCTCGAGGAAAGAGCGTATATCAGGTTCCTCTTTCTGCTTAGGGGCACGAAGCTTTGAAAGTTGATGAATTGTCCATTCCATGTAGGCTTTTTGTATATGGACCTTTTCAGAGAGTTGTTGGGGTTTCTTGTCAGATGGACGTCGAGGAAGTGGAACATTCCGTCGGATTCAGTCTCAAGTGTAAAGTCGATGTTTGGGTGGGCATGATTGAAGATTTGAAGTAGGTTTTTTAAAT